ATTTATTTATTCATATTGATAAAATTTATGTAAATACATGAAAAATATATATAAACAAACTATAAACCCTAATCAGTTAAAATAAATAATAAAAAAGATTTAAAACATCTACTAAATATTTTTAGTATATGTTAAAATTACAAAACTTATAACCTATTTACGATTATATGCAATACAAATGATAATAACTATCATGCAATTGTTGTTACACATATATTGCAATACTACGATAGCCATATAACCGCAATTATGCAGTTTTTTGCACTTAAAGTATACCACGAAACTATTTAATAACATAATTAGTGTTAAAATTTGCCATAAAATTTTTCATTGGTGATGTCAAACTTAAACAAATATAGTTTGAAATATTAATTCAGAAAAAAAACTAAATGTTTCGTTTATTGCAATTAATCAAAATGACCTGCTTAAATTTATTTTTAAAAACTTCCTTAAATTAAAGTCAGCTTAAGCAAGCTTTTACAAATGTCATTAAAGGTAAATCTAAAATACTTGAAGATTTTGTTACTACATCACATGTCACTGTGTATAATTTTAACCTATCCATGTATAATTAGGTTTTATACTTAAAAATAAAAAATTGCTATATGTATGCTTATGATGACATTTTATTAGGTCTGTTTCACGAGATCTATTTTTCCTTACTCCAGTTTGTATAATAGCGAAAAATTTTATAAATTAGCAAAATGAATTAACGTCGTAAAGAATCATTTTTTGCGAAATAATATTCTAGAGTAAGTTATTGCTCTTTATGCGGCTTTATTGTAATAATTATATTCATTTTATATAAATTTTAATTACTTTTCTGTGCATAAATTTTACTATTCTAGAACTAAAGCAAGAGGAAATATGTTTATGTGGGTTGTAGAAATTAATATATTATTAACATAATTTATATTAATCATTAATATAACTGCAGTATATCTAAAGCAAGCAAAATTATGATTTATAACTGAATAAAATTATATTTTTAATTATATAATAATATATTATGATGACAATGTCACAAAGTATATTCCATATACAAGATGATAAATATATACTACGAATAATCTACAGTTTATAAATAACATATTGCTTATATTTTCTCTAAAACAGCAATTAAAATATTTTTCAAAAAATATTTTCTGAGATGCCCTGTAAACAAACGAATTTTACTGGTCAAAAATACTAGGTGCAGATGCAATAAAAATGGAACGCACGAAATGAATTTTTACAATTTTAATGTTGCCAGACTACAATAAAATATGTTGGGAGGCTCCGTTTAGTTTTAGTAATAAAACAATAGCACTATGTATGTAGAAGACACTATCTTTTGTTAAAATGCTGGAAAAATATATAAAATAACAAATTATAACAAATTATAATATTCAAAATAATTGATATTTATGTTTTATTAATTCTAATAAATTTTACTTGTTTCATATTCTTTCTTTTAGTATATTTGTATATATGTGCAAAAGATGTCAAAAATATTTCGTTTTTTAAATTAAAATATTATATTTAAACAGAAAGGGCATGAAGGGAGATGACTGAGCGAATATTTGGCTTGCTACATCGACTTGCCATTTTAATTGAACGTTTAAAGTAGAAATGAAGACTATACACTCAACAGTATGTATTAATATCATCATAAGTAAGGCTTTTGTAATATTTATCATATATTTATACTTTATATTGAACATTTCGCAATATCACTTCAACATAGTTCACTAATTATTAGACTAGAATATTTCTGTTTTTTCAATGCTTTGTGCTTTTATGTTTTTCATTACAATCGCATAAAAAATTGGAGGTACTCTCTTAATGCTGAAATAGTTGTCATTCTAACTTAACCCATGTCTACACTGAATTGATAATATAACAATTGCTATTAGAGAGTATAATTTGGCAGCCTTTCTCTACGTAAATAATTATTTTAATAATATCTGCCCACAATGAGTATTAAATGTTCTATGTAACTTCAACGTCGGCAAAACAATAATATCTTATCCTTAGTTGTAAAACTATTATTCGAAGTACTCCGCAAGACTGTGTTCTGTGTGCATTGTTATAAAGGCTTCAATGACCTCCTGAAACTGGAAGCTTTAGGCTGCAACGTAGTAGCTTACTGCTTTTATTTTTCGCAGATAGATACAAAATATCGTCTTTTATTCTCTCCAAATAGATAACGTTCAAATTAACATATTTCAAAAAGTGAAAAATCGTGCTTAAATTCTAAATTAAGCTGGGCACCAAATATATCTAAAAGGGTCCGAAAAGCCGTAAGTCGCAATTGGGGTCTAAAATGCTGCGTAACCCTTTAAATTCAATTAGTGTTACTGAAGGCTATTCTTCTATACGGATGCATAATTTGGTAACCCATTTTGTCGCAAGCTCTTTACTTAGACTGGGCAATGAGCAACATTATACTAAATGAATAGTTATAGATTTAAACAGATGGTTTGAAAATAGGGTAAGCGGTTAGCAATTATATTAGATCGGAAGTAAATAAATAAATTTTTTTTAAAGGTTTGCATTTTGATTCTTATTGCTTTTTGTGCTTTTGTACAACATCAGCCGTTAGAAGATAAATAAATAATAACGATTCTAGTATAGTTAAAGTTTAGTGTGGGGCAGGGATAAGCCCCCAGCCAGAAAGGAATAAAGTGCGCAATAGCACTAACTCAAATCACAACAACAACAACATGAAATTTACAATTTCTATCAGTTTCTTCATAACATTTATTTCTTCCTTTGCTCTCATATTCTTAAACTCTTATTTCTTTTTTTGCAAAAAAAGTAACAACTGTGCAATGAAGTCAGCTGTGATATCTATGCCATATTAGAATCATAATATAATAGGTGCATTCAGACTTCTTCGGTAACACGGTATATGAAGATAAAATAAAGAAAGTAATGTAAAAATATATAATAATAGAAATAAAAAAATAACAAATTTTACTTATATTTATATTATTATTTGTTAATAATTATTAACGAAATTTTTTTTATTTACTTGAACGTTTTAAAATTGAATCTATTTCATGAAATCGAAAAAACTTTTGTTAATATATTTAAATTGTATATGCCAATAAAACATTCACGAGAGGTCAGTTGATTCCAAAGGTAGTCAATTGGCTAAGTTAGCCATAATACATAAGTCTACCGTTTTTATCACAAATTTCAATTTACCAGGTGTAATATACTTACAATTTACAAATACTTTGCAGTTTACATTTCCCATATAAAATTCATTGCGATTTTATATCCATTCAATCCAATGTGGAGATTTTATATGTAAAATGTAAACAAACAACAGCTGAGCTATATAAAAAGGAATTGAGGAAGTAAGTATTTATTAAAATAAAAAATTTTTTAATAATTTAATATGTAATAGATGTATAAAATGTATATAAATGATTTAATATATCAATTACATATTTGATTTTTTGTGTGATATATTATTAAGTGAAGTTTATAAAAGTTCTATCAGCTGTATAAATCAGCTCATTATAATGTGAACGTTCACGCATTAATATATAGGAGCAAGTGCCTAAATGATACAATATGAATGTACTATTATTTATTAAATTTGATAAAAATATATACTAAATATTTTGCTAAAATGTACACAATAATAACAACCTTTAAAAACGCATATTTCTTTGGTTTCGCTGTTTGCAAAACTACTAATTTATTCGTGATATGTAGTAAATATAAACATAATACTTGATAGAGAAAAGCACTGCAGGTTTTTCGACTTTTATTTTTTCTCGAAATGTTACTTTATTTGATTACAATAAATAAAATAAAATAAAATAATTTTTGGAAAATGAAACCTCTTATTTGAAATCTACCTATAAAAATGTAATATATGATATACATCGTTTGAAATTGGTATAACAGCTATTATAAATATATATAAAATGCTTTCAGCAGCTTCTCAGTATGGTAAAAAATAGCAAGTTGCTTACTATAGACACTAAGCGAGATATTGGCATCACTGCATCATCTGTCAAATGTTATCTTTTCGCAAAAACCAAATCTTGCATATGTGCACATAATGTAAACTAATTACAGGCTCCTCGGGGAGATATGCAGATCTGAGCTCAATTGTTGCTTAGTCTGATGAACTGATAAACAATAATCTAGTCAAGGCGCTAAGAGAGGTTTTGAAGAAACCTCGCAGTTAATAGAAAGTAAAAGTGCTCAGGTGCACTGACTCAACTAGCCTCAACATTATAATTAATAAAATTGAACATTAAAATGAAGCAATGTTCAGAATGCAAGAAATATTAAAATTTCCTTTCACAATTAAATTAATAATAGTTCACACTATTTATGCTTTAAAAAGTACTAAACTGATAGCAACTAATAAGTTAAAAATTTTATACCGCTTTTCAATTATTCTTTCTTCACGTACTCCTAAAAATTTTTTAATATATTTATATGTATGTGTATAAAACATTAAAACAATTTTGCATATTTTTAAAATATTTCATTTCCAAAATTTTTAAATTTGTGAAATTTTTTAATTTTGCTTGATTTTTTGTTTACAATTTTTTAACATATGACTGTAATATTCGTTAAAATTTTCAATGAAAGTTCACAATAGATCGCTTATTGCTTTGGTAACATTTTTTTCTGCAGTCGTGTTGTTGTTTTACGTATAAATTAGCATCATTACGCGAACAACTTGCTATTTTGGCAAGCTGCTGAAAGCATCTATAATAAAACCAATTTGAATATCAAAACCCACAGTTTTAAACCAATAGCATGCAAACATGATCTAAAACTACTAAAGTTTTGTTAGAATTGTATCCATATTATTAATGGAGACACAATTTAAGATTCTACATTTATATAAACACTATATATTTATATCTGTCAGTCATAAGAGCGAAATAATTATCACTTATAATATATTACAAAATTTAATCGTAGCTGTCCATAGCTTATTTGTTACTGTATACAAAATTAAAAAAAATTATTTGTCAACAAACCGAAAACATTTTAAAAATTTTCAAATTTCTAGTGCTACCAGTACACAAGCAATAGTGCCATTCATAAATGAACGTACAAGTTTTGGCACAACAATTTTTTTGAAAAATTCTGGCATCTCCAACTTTGACAGTTCTGTAATCAAACCCATCATTTCAATTTAGTTTTACTTTTTATTTCATTTATTTAAATTTAGTTTGTAAATATTTAAAAAATTTTCATATAACAATATCCGTTTCCCAGCAAAATTCCCAGTGTTTAGCCTTAAGAACAGAATTCAAAATCAACGTTTTGATCAAAATTTATCGAATGCTTAACCTGAAGTTAGAAAAGCAAACTTGCGAAGAACGCGTTGAAGCCGCATGCTATTCGAAAAATTGTACGTAATTCGCAATACCAAGATTAAAAATATAAGACAACATTTGGGAATTCTATTTTTGGCAGCTGGCTGCACACTGAACACGTGTTCTATCTGTTCTATTTTAATATAAACCAAAGATTGAAAATACCTTAGAGAGCAATAATGGCGAAAGTAAACGCAATAGAAAAAAAATCACATAAAATAGCGGACGCTGCGGAACCTACTTGTAAAGCGAAATCTACAGCAAAAAAGTTAAATGAAATGATATTCCATGCGACCAAGTCGAAGGTAACTAGCCCTTTGCACAACCCCCATCGTACCAATCATACAATTTGTAAATACACAACACAACAACTGGCACCAACATTACCAAATAAAGGAAAGAGAAACTCTTCCGCAAAACCAAATCATAGTAATAATAAAAACACCGAAAAAGCGGTTGAACAGGTCAAAGGTTTGACCCCTGAAGTAGCGGCATCTATGCAGCGAAGTAAAAATGAAGGTACTACTTTTAAATGCGTCAATTTTAAAATACTTATGCAGTGTAATATTTATTTTAATTTTCTTGTAAATGTTAACCAACTTAAAATTAAAATATATTATATTGCTATTTCAACAGAGGCTGTCAGTGATTTGCTGACGCGAATCCCTGAAATCAGTAATATATTTGATGTCCATTCGCGCATTGGAAATGGTACTTTTAGCACGGTTTTACTTGCTACGATGAAAAGAGAGAAGCACTTACCGGATCATTTGCGTAAAAAATATGCAATAAAGCATCACATACCGACTAGTCATCCGGATCGTATAAAAAAGGAATTGCAATGTATGGCCACTATGGGGTATGTATTATAAAAGTATTATCATTAGTTATTGATAAAGAAAGCATTATCAAGAATTCATTACTGTATAGGGATTTATGGTCAAATATCATTCTTTAGGAGATTTTTTAAATTGAACTAATGTCCTCATGTATCAAATATTTTTTAGAAACTAAAAAATATGCTAATAAAAATAAATATACTAAGAATTTTTTTTCAAATTATTTATCATCAATATTCAGTAGAATTCGTTTCACTTAAATAAAATATGTCAAAGACACAAATAATAGCCAAATATATGCATATATATTTGAACGCAAATCCATTTGGTGGCTGTGATGACGTAGATAGCACAATATTTGCACAGCAGTACATTTATATTAAACGCCTACAATTTTAACAGTGCCTACCACCACCAATCATTTGCACAACTTCTCATTACAATTTATCAGACATTGACGTCATCAGTACGCAAAAAAAAAAAGTATATATATAAATAAAAACACACCACCAGTTCCCGCAGCACGTTGTTTATACTCATATCAACCTTCACCCTCACCTTGATACAATAGTATGCAATACGTACGTTCTTCTGCCGGCTCACTGTATATAAGAGTAATATTTTTACATATAACTTGGTTGAAGGTAAAAACTTCATAACTTTTGTATGTTTCTTCATTCATTCCATGTATGTTTATAGTAAATAAATTGTTTATACAATAGTGTGTGCAATAAGTACAAAAACCAAAACGTCAACAGTTTTTGTCATTAGTACTTAACTTGTAGGTGGCAGTGGTTGATATGTAATTTTTATCAGCTTTAGATATAAAGATATCAAGTGTAAATTTCCTAATAAATATTAAAGTAATCAATAAAAAAATATATATACCTGTATAGCATATTTGCATTTTTAGGATTCTAATGGTGTTTAATAACCACAAGCATATTTGTAAATATTGAATTTAAAAAATTCATACATATACATATAGAAATACATATATTGATAACTTAAGCTTATAACTTAAATAACTTAAGCGGCAATAATTTTTATTAATATATCTTATATACTAATCCAGTTCTGCCGATTTGGTGCAGTTCTTTACCAAATGTAAGTGCTAGGGATTGTATATATAAGACCCAATAGTTTATCATATACATATAAATTCAGCATTCCCTGCATGCGTGTCTAAAGTAAAGGGGTTTCTTTAGTAATTAATATAAGTGCCATTTATAAACAATGTGATATTTTCCATATAAGGTTTTATCATTTTATTAAATGATGTTGGGGGATTTTCTCAACGGTGTTAATTTTTCTACTATACACGATATATTTTCTGAAATCTTTACACGTTACATTTTTTATATAAACATGAACATATTTTTATTTATTGAAATGATTTAATTCATTCGTATTTGATTCTACCAATCTGCTACATAAGTGTATCAACTTAGAAACCAAATTCAGATTGATTATAGAGGACTGAACAAATGACTTTTAAATATCTATTTATATTGTAGCCTCCTGCTAAAAAACGCAGACGTACGGAGTCGTATTGGCTGTATTTTTAATTATATTAATGGCCATTTAATTTAGTTAAATTTATAGTTATCTGTATTTTTTATTTTTATATTTCCGCTTACTTATATTTTTAGTTATATGAGTTAGTTATATGAGTTATCATTATTTTTTTATATTTATATTTTTTAGCTTATTGAATTATATATAGCTTAATTTACATTAAGACCGAAAAGTTTTCGGAAATTTTCATTTAAAATTCGCGCGCTGTATATTTTTCGATATTTTAAGTTTATGTAGTTTGGCAGCACTGTCCTTAATTACTATGCCAAAAATGAGCGCGATCTGTCAGACAGTTCGTTTACGGCAGCTGTTGAAACCAGTTCACCTCAGTAGGGCGTTGCGAAAAAAACAATGGAAAAAAATATTGAACAAAGAGTTTGCATCAAATTTTGTGTTTCGAACGAAATTTCGTGTGCAGAATCGTTGCGAATGCTACAAAAGGCTTATGGGGAATCAGTTTTATCGAAAACTCAAGTTTATGAGTGGTACAAAGCCTTCCAGGACGGTCGTACGACCGTCGAAGACATTTCGCAACGCACTACTGAGGTGAACTGGTTTCAACAGCTGCCGTAAACGAACTGTCTGACAGATCGAGCTCATTTTTGGCATAGTAATTAAGGACAGTGCTGCCAAACTACATAAACTTAAAATATCGAAAAATATACAGCGCGCGAATTTTAAATGAGAATTTCCGAAAACTTTTCAGTCTTAATGTATAATTG